AGAGAGAGAGAGAGAGAGAGGGAGGGAGAGAGAGAGAGAGAGAGAGAGAGTTACAAACTGAACGTTAAGTTTTAAGTTTTCCTTTTTATTTGACTTCAAATGTTGAGTTCATTATCGCCGAGAAATCAGAGCTTATTTTAAAGGATACTAAAACTCAAAATAAATGAATGTATTTTTGACTTAATGTTATAACTTATAAGTAAACTTAATAATACTTTAATTTATTAAATTTCTATAACAATATTAATTATATTTAGCAATTACAGCTCAATATTAATAATTAGGTATTGTTTTAATGTTTGAAATTTAAATCCTAAATAAAATGTAATCGATTTAAATGTTTCAAAAGAAATTGAAAAAGATTTGCAAATAATATTTTAAAGTGAATACAGTGTGCCATACAGTCTGCCATCTAGATTGAAATCAGTTAGTGATAAAGTTATAGCGGTTTAGATAAAAATTCGCATATTAAAAATCTAGTTAAAATAATATTTTATTGTATTATAAATCACATTGCCATTTATTTATATTTCTAAAATAAATCTATATTTATATTTTTAATATAATATAATTGAGATATAATTCTATAATATATCTTTATAAATAATGTGATCTAGGAGGTATGAGAGAATTTTTGAAACATTTTATTATCAAAAATGATAAATTAAAATAAACATATAGTAAATGTAAATTTGTATAACAAATCTAAATTAGTTATGCGTTTATTACAATATCAATCATAACTATTAGCCAATTGTTTATTAACATCGGTTTTGAGTTTCATGTGATTGTCTTGTGTTTCCAATCCCTGGTCTTCGATCTCATCGTTGTATAGATTTTTGATTCTCTTCGACAGGAATATAACGATCACATCGAAGACACTTCCAATGAAATACATGCCAAGAGTTAGTCCGTGAAGATTACGCCTAAATTTGTATGTATCGTAAGCCCAACAGTTCCCTCTGTGGCCACACTTCGACTCCCATATCAGACACGAGGCGTCGGCTACGGCTCCGTATACCAGAGGGTATGGTATGAATGCTGTCATTAAATCAAACAATTAAAATCTTTGCTTATTTTGTAAGATTATATTTAAATACCAAAGCAAGTCATAAAAGCGGTCATTAAACCGATAGCAAAACTCTTGTCCTCTTTATCTACCATTCTATTATTCAAAAACAATAAATTAAAACTTATACATTTATTTAATTATCTTTAGTTACCTTAGTGAAATGATACTATTGCCAGTTTTGGCCAAATTTCCGATTACGCCACTTATTCCCAATAGTGTTATATAAATGTGTAAATTGTGTCCACAATCAGTACTACAATAGCCTTCAGTCGCCGAACCATCAAAACAATTACAATCGGAATATTTCTGTTTAAACATTAAATCTCTAATTTTTAAATAGTAATTTTGAGTTTAAATAAAACTTGCTTTTTTGGTTGTGTTAGTTATTTGAGTCTTACAGCCGGCAAAACATGGAGAGAAGTAATTGGTTTTGTTGTCCGGACCACAAATCGGCTGGAATTTGGTTTCCGAACAAAAACAGTTGTCGTTACACATCGACTGCATCTCAAAACTATACAAACATTTTATTAAATTTATATTTCATTTTTATTAAACATACCGTGAGTTGTGATGAGTGCCGGCAAACTGTGATTGAGGACAGCCGAGGAAAAGGGCGGATAACATACCCATTATTGCAAAAACTTCAACAATTGTTACGAGAGAAGTGAGAAGTCGGGGTCCGGGAAGAAATTTACGGATAAAAACTCCGCCCAGGAATATACCCGTTGCCGTCGGGATTACACCTATTATTCCTGTAATTATAAGTGAAGTTAAAAATAATAATTATTAAATGCATAAAATTTACCAGAAAATAAGTTGGCAGTGGAGGCGGAGGTCTTATATTCAGATTCAATATATTTCGATTTGAATGTGAGATAACCGAGAACTGCAAACAATCGGGTCGTCGTTCCCAATGTATAACAAATATAAATCGGATTCTTTAACAACCGTTTTATTCGCTTCCAAATATCTGTCAATACATAATGTGTTATAAACTCTATTATTAATTATTGTACAAAAATCATTATATTGGAACAAGTATGACATCCATTATTTGTGAATTATAATGATTTTTAGACAATCTTAGACATGATTTGTGATATATTGCCGCAAATATGCATTGTATTACTTACTAATTTCTTGTGTTTGATTTCCAGTTGTTTTCATAAGTGGTTCACTATTTTCCGGTAGTTTTTGTGTTTCGTTTGATTTAAAACTTCTCGGAAAGAAAAACATAGGAATTGAAAATATTAATACTGCAGTTCCGATCACTATAAAGCCAATCCACCATGCTCCTATCCAACGTGGATCTGTTCGCTCGATTCCCGGATCCACTGAATTTGTAAATCAAATAATTTCTATTATATTGAATATAATTTATATTGTATTTTATATTTACTCACGAAATGGGTTTTCATAAAATGTTAAGACATATGACGAGAGAATAAAACCAGAGGTCGGACCACAAAGACGGAGAGCACCCGCGAGACCTGTAATTGTCATTAGAAATAATAAGTAAATTGTTAAAAAGAATTACAATAGTGTTTAAATAATTACATGTTATAATAAGCATGAATTCAAATATTATGACAATATAGTGAAACAAAAGTCAATCACTCACTTAAATACAGGGGAGAGTTCTTCTTGCGAACCGAGTCGTCCATAAATGGTATGGCAATGATATAAAAGGCAACGTAACCGATGCCATAGAAAACACTCGCTATACATAACAGTATAACCGCCAGAATTGCAGTCTCAGATCCACCGCTTTCTCCGCACATATTATTATCGAAATTGTTTTGATCGCAAAATTCTGTGCTTTTATTATATTTCATAAGACGTCCGACTATTTCCTTATTACTACCGCTCAACAGATGAACTCCCGGTCCGTATATAAAGTATGGCAGAGCCGCTAAATAACAACCAAATGCCACAATAACGTGACAAATGGCTATCATTCGTGGCCTATGGACACGATTGGCCAGATATCCAAATATTGGACTAAATACCAGATCCGCCAAATTATCGGCGATGAGAATAATCCCTGTTATAGTACTGCCAAAAGCGTATCTCTTTTCCAAAGTGGTAATACTAGCGATCATATATGCAAAGGCCGCGCCCTGTGATACGGCCAGACCGCACAATATTATCATAAACACTTTGGTTGAGGCAAATATTTGTGACCACTTCGGTCTCCACGAACCCAACCCACACATGTGGTCCGTCAACTCGGACTCAGCACTTTTATTATTAGTCATTGTTTTAATTACACTTTAATTTTTAATATTTTTCAGATAGTTTTAATTTTATTTTATTATACTTTTATTATCAATAGTATTTGCAACACAACTATCTGTTGTTAATTTTTAACTAAAAGTACTTTTATTTGACAATATATTTTGGGTTTGTAAACATACTTTAAATACCACGACAATAGTTTACAACATTTAATAGTAAATAATTATGAGAATTGTTTTTAGACAGTAAAATTACTTTTAAACAGCATCTATTATTACATAAGTTAGGTTTGTGTTGCTTATGATTATGGAAATCATAATTTAGTTGAGTTTACAAACAGAATTCAAAATCATTTCACCAGAATTATGGTTAACTTGTTGTTGTGTGTATCCCATCTAACCTTGATATAAATATTTAAAATTATGATACTGTTAATCAAGATGTGTAAATATTTGGTTCATATCCTAATAAATTGAAAAAAATTTATTTATATTAAATAATAGGTATCAGATGTAATACACATTTTGATAAAGAATGTACTATGGTAAACTGTAATGTATTGCTTTATTGTCCTTGAAATAAGCAATATTATATAAAGTAAGTACATTACAGTAAGTATAATAAGTAACCAAAATTATAACAGTGAATATTTATATTAAATTGCTTAAAAAATACAAAATATTGAGCATTAAAATGCAAAAATATGAACATAATTATAAAAATTTTAATTGATTTGGCTAGTCTACTAAAAGTTATATTTTGAATATTATTTGCCTAAACATGTTGTTTGAACATGTAAGTTTTGTCTCTAATTGTAATTTTCAAACTAATTAAGATAGATTTTACAATTAAAATAACAATATAAAAGTATCCTTATAAATTATGTGATCAAGCAGTTGAGATTATTTATACATAATCTAATAATTTTGCATACAATGCAAGCCATAGAATCACTTCAAACTCTAAGATCTAATATCACATATAATTTATGAAATAATTTAATCTGAAATTAATTGCAAACTAATTGCATATTTACAGCAAGACTTGGCTTTGATTGACTTATGTAAAGGACTGACAGATAAAACTGTTTGTTGATTGAAAATGAATTGTAAATTACAATTCCTGTCGCAATTGAATTGACGGCAAAAACTTTATAAAAATTCATTATATCTTTGGGAATCTTTTAAGACTTGAATTGTAAGACAATTTTGATTTCAATGTGAAAAATAATTTTGAAAACTAGTGCTAAGTATGAGTTAAACTCAACAATAGTCGTGTGAATTAAAAAATGAATACAAATGTAATGCAACAATAAAATGTAATGTTTGTAATGCTTATAAAAACTACATTTAAGTCATTGTTTGTCACGATATAAGACATTATTATTAGAAATTTGAAATTAAAGTCGTTTCAAATTGAAACCATTAAGAAAGTAATCGATGAGTGATAGCAATACTGTTCCCGATTTACCACCAGTGGTGGCGCGGAAGGGGTTTAAATTGGTGAAGAGGTTAGGCGGCGGCGGTTTCAGCACTGTTTACGAGTGCACT